GGCGGCGGCCAGACAGGAGGTAAAGTGGTACCGGGAGCCGACAAAGCCGGCGGAGGGCTGGGTCCGGGAGCCTGCCCACGGCCTGGAGGGAAGGCGGTTGGGGTGGTGGTTGTCAGCCGGGCCGGGGTCGCGGCCCGATGCCCCGGCGGGGGCTTCCTCTCCTGCTTGGGGCTCGGGACGCCTCCCCGCGGCCTTTGGCAGCCTGGAGCTGCAGCTGGAGCTTGGCCACAGCCGCGCGGCCACCAACACTAACTTTATTTCCCGGCGCGGGGTCGGAGGTCGAGCACGCTGCTGTCTGGACTGGACTGATGATCCATCCGGTGCCCGGCACCCCTGCCCCGGCCGGCCCGGCGCTCCGGCCCCGCGGCTGTCGCCCACCTGTCATCCCCCCGTGCGCCCGGTCCGCTCGGCCTTTGACACTCTGCCCGGGCGAGGGGCCCTGCAGCGGGTCCTCTGAGACGTCTGCCGCCGGACCCGGGCATCCCTGCAGCCGCGGCTGGGGTTAAACCGCTTTCTCTTCGCCACCTGTGGGATTAAACTGTGGGGGCGACCCCAGGAAGCCGCGGCCCCAGAGCGGAGGCCCGCGGGCTGCTCAGCAGTGCAGGGCACAAACTCACGCGCTGCGGGGAGCGCTCCCAGCCTGATTCTTACCGGCTTAGACGCGGCAAAACATGCCCTGTGTGCTCTGCACATGACACACACCCAGGGGCAGCTCTTGGTGGTTACGAGGTTTGTTTTAAGCAGAGAGAAAATTTTGAGGGAGTTGAATACGTTAGTGTTGAATTCGGACCAATGTTTCATTGAATGTTGAATTAAACTCGCATTTTCCCTAGGGTTCAATGAACAGATTGGTAGGACAAACTGAACTGGGTTATTCTGCTCTGTTACTTACTCTAAACTTCCACACCCAGAACCCTTATGCTAATAAAGATGCTGACTCTGAGCGTTCGTCTTATAGATGTAGTTAATTAACACGGGGTATCTGTTTTAAAGAGCTTTGCTTGTAGCCAGCATCTTGCTGTCATCCATGTTGCTACTGCAAAGGTTGGAGAATATGGACAAAAGAGAGCATTAGAAAATGTTACTATATAACTTATTTAACATGAAAGCAATTTGTAAACTATAAAATTATATATGAATTTAGTAAATATCGCCCTGGCCGGTTTGGTTCAGCAGTTAGAGCGTCAGCCTGAGGTCCAGAGAGACTCGGGTTCGGTTCCCACTAAGGGCATGTACCTCGGTTGCGGTTTGTCCCTGGCCCTGGTTGGGTCGTGCGGGTGGCAACCACTCTATGTGTCCCTTTCACATCGATGTTTCTCTCTCTCTTTTCCTCTCTCTCCCTCCCACTCTATCTGAACAAAAAATGGAAAACATGTCCTCGGGTGAGGATTTTTAAAAAAAATTTACTGAGCACCTACTGTGTGCCACACATTCTTCTAAACAGATTTTTAAAAACCCTCTTTCGTGGAGCTTCCATTTTACTGGGGGAATGTCAGATAATAAACAAATAAAATGTGTGCTGTGTCAAATGGTGTTAAGGATTGAAGAGAATAAGCAAGGAAGAGGGAGGATAAGGAATAAGGAGAGGGTTGCAATTTTAATTAGAGGTAGCCAGGGAAGACTTCCTGGAAAAGATGACATTAAGCACAAGACTGAAAGGAAGTGAGAGGGTAACTCATTCACCTCTCTAGGGGAAGAGAGTGTTCAGAGGGAAAGGTACTTGCAGAAGCTGCCAGGCAGTAGTGTATGGGCATGTTTGAGGAAAGCAGAGAGGCTGGTTTGGCTTGGTGGAGTGAGCAATGTAAGAGTAGTAGAAATGAATTCGGGGATTAAGTGGGAATGGGAAATCAGATTGTGTAAGGCCTATAGGCCTTTGTAAGGACTTGGGGTTCCACTCTGAGTGAGACTCATCACTTTGAATGGAGAAGGGATATAACAGACTTGCTCTTTGAAAGGGTCACTCTGATAGTTGGATGGAGAATAGACTTTGTTGCAGGGAAGGGTGAGGCAGGAGCAGAAGCAGGGACATCGGTTCTGGGATTCTTGCCATAATCTGGGCCAGAGATGATGCATCATGGACCAGAATGCTGTTGGTGGAGTGATTGATTTCTGGGTTGATTTCTGGATTGATTTCTGACTCTGAGGGTCGTAGAGTCAACAGGAAACTTCAAGAATACCAAATTTTATCCTGAGCAAGTAGAAGGATAGAGTACACATGCCCGAAGTCAGGTTTATGAGAAGAGCAGTTTAGTTTGGTGGGGAGAAGGTTAGGAGTTGGTTAGAAGACAATAAAATTAGACTCTCCTGACTTTATATTGAAGACACTTTTTAGACTCTCCTGACTTTATATTGAAGACACTTTTTAGACTCTCCTGACTTTATATTGAAGACACTTTTTACGTTACCTTGACTACAGCAGGGGCTTAATAATTTTACTTATGAACTGCCAACTTTTTTTCATGCTCATTTTCTTTTTGGCTCTTTTGTAACAATCTAGTCATTCATTTCACCAAATGTAGTTTTGTTTTTATTTGCTTGCACTCAGTGCATCTGTTTGTTAGGTTCAGTTGTAGAGAAAGCCATGTAGTGTAGAATTTCTAGTTTGTTGCTGTATTTAACTTGAATAACTTCATCTGATTAATTTTTTTCCTGAATTATGTTTAGATGCCTGACTTAAGTTCAAGAAATTTTTTTAAGCCTCAGAAATCTTGTTATCAAACATGACTTCACTTAGACATTTGTGAGATTCTAATGGAAATGGCCTGTTTTAATACTTTACTAATAAATCAGTAATATACAGGGATTATCCTAATTCTTCTGTTTCATTAAAGATGGCTTTAACTGCCCTGGCCAGTTTGGCTCAGTGGTTAGAGCATCGGCCTGCGGTCCAGGGAGACCCGGGTTCAGTTCCTGCTAAGGGTACCTACCTCGGTTGCAGTTTGTCCCTGGACCTGGTTGGTCATGCGGGTGGCAGCCCTTCGATGTGTCCCTTTCATATCGATGTTTCTCTCTCTCTCTTCTTCTCTCTTCCTCCCACTGTATCTTAACAAAAAATGGAAAAATGTCCTTGGGTAAAGATATAAAAAAAAAAAAAAAAAAAGATGGCTTTAACTAAATGGGCCATCTCATGTTAAATGGACATTTTTTTAAATCAAATGTAGTATTTGGAGCAATAGTATTTGACCCATAAAACTCATATCAAAATGTATCAGACTCAGAATTTAAGATCTGCCTTATACATTTAGAATTCAGCCCTGGCTGGTTTGGCTCAGCGGTAGAGTGTCGGCCCACGGACCAATGAGTCGTGGGTTCGATTCTGGCCAAGGCCACGTACCTCGGTTGCGTTTAGTCCCCCGGTCCTGGTCCTGGTCAGGGTCATGTGGGAGGCAACTAGTCGATGTGTCCCTCTCACGTCGATGTGTCCCTCTCACGTGGATGTTCGTGTTTCTCACTTTCTTCCTTTCTCTCCCTCTCTCTCCTTCCCTCCCTCCCACTCCAACTGAAGATAAATAGAAAAACTGCCTTGGCTGGTTTGGCTCAGCAGTTAGAGCTACGGCCTGCGGACCAGAGAGTCCCACTAAGGGCACGAACCTCAGCTGCATTTTGTCCCCGGCCCCAGTTGGGGTCGTGTGGGTGGTAGCCACTCAATGTGTTTCTGTCACATTGATGTTTCTTTGTCTCTCTTCCTCCATCCCGTTCTTTCTGAAGGTAAATGCAAAAATGTCCTGGGTGAGGATTTAAAAAAAAAAGATAAATAGAAGAATATTGTGGGGTGAGGATTAAAACAAAAAAAAGATTCCATTAATGCCCTGGCCATTGGTTGAGTGACTTCCATGCACCTAAAGGTCACTGATTCTATTCCTGGTCAGGGCGCAAACCTGGGTTGTGGGTTTGATCTCTGGATTGATGTCCCGTCCCACCCCCCCCACCCCACCCCACCCCCGCCAGTCAATATGAACAGTTTTTAAAAAAATTAAAACGAATCCAGGTAATAAGCTAATATATTTTTTAATTGATTTGAGAGACAGAGAAATATCGATATGATGTTCCACTTATTTATGCATCATTGGTTGATTCTTGTATGTGCCATGACCTGGGATCGAATCTGCAAGTTTGGTGTATTAGTACGACTCTAACCAACTGAGCTACCTGGCCAAGGTTAAGCTAATATTTTTAAATGGATTTTCAACCCAAATATCCTGAAAGTATATAAAAATCTGTCACATTAATAACTAATTATAAACTGATCTTAGAGTCAATGGGAACACTGTATTTTCTTTGGTACTACTTTTGCTGTTGGTTCTCACCAGTGTTTGTCCTTGTGCCGCTTAATTCTCTTGGCTTTGGTTAACAGTAATTGAGGAGACCTGATACATTTAGAAATTTTGAATGTTTTCCAGGTCTAACTGCTGCGAAGAAAAAAAAAAGGAAAATCTTATCTAATAATATGAAAGAGTAATGCTTAGTGCTTGATCCTCTTAATTAAACAAGAAAGGAATTAAATAGTTTCCCAAAAGGCTAGTCATTGTTTCATTCAAATATTATTCTTTGAAATTGAAACTCAAAATGGAGAGCTTCTAGCCACTTTCAGTGAGTACAAGAAATAGATGAATAATAAGATAGAGTACTACATGTACTTGGAAATGTTTGTCCAACTGCTGCCACTCATCTTTAAAAAGTAAAGAAAATAGAAGAATTTTGGCATAAACCCGAAGAATTGCATATTTTACATTTAAAAATGTGGTTAGGGGAGATGAAGCCCAGAAACTGTACATTGAATATCTTGACATTGACTGATTCTTAAAAAAATTGTAGAACAAATTGCCAAATAGATTCTTTGTGATTTGTGATTAGAAAAGAAAGTACTGATTACTAAGACCCAGAATTATGTTTTTAAGAACAAGTCATATTAAGTTTAGCCTCATGCTCACTTTGCCAAAGATATAATAATATTAAATAATCTTTGTATGGTGCCTCACATCTTACAGAGTGTGCTCCCATTTATTATTTTCTTTAACTCTTACAGCATCCTTATGCAGTAGGAGCTCTGGGACAGATGTGGGAGATTTTAGGAAAGACTTACTTAGGTATGGGGTAAAGAAGAGGATTCGCCATTGTCTGAGTGGGTGAGTGGTGATGCTGTTAATTGATCCTAATTTAGAAAATACAGGTAGGGGAGTAGATTTGGAGATGTGAAATTCATCAGTTCACGTCAGTTTGGTGGAAATAGCTGTTTTAATATTGGAGGGAAGGTATGCTGGAGAACTTGGGTAGGGAGTAGTGTGAAATTAAGGAGTTGAGGGTGGTTGCGAAGTTGCTAACTGACGGGCTGAACCTTAGGTATCCTGCTTGGTTAAGGAATAAAGTTGAGCCAAGATGGGCTGATAAATGTGGAGAATGAAGAAGGTGAAGAGTCTCAATGAGTAAGCTGTAGGATCGGTGGAAGTAAAGGAGTACTAGATCTGGGACAGTAGGAACTTGTGATGTGACAGTCCTAAATCTAAGATCCTGGAGATGGAACTACTGCAGGTGATGTAGGGGCCAAAGAATGACCAATGATGGTGGTGGGTAACCAATATTAATAGTGCTAATTACAACAGTAATATTAATAAAAGCTACTGTTCATTGAATACTGCATACTAGTCACTATACTAAATGCTTTGCATTGGTTATCATACTTATTTTTCAAAACTATCCTGGAGGCACATATTAGGATCTCCATCTTAACAAATGAGGAAACTGGGTCTCATTGAGGTTAAGCAAGTTTCCCCAAGGCACAACTAGGAAGTACCTGAGTCTAGCCCCAAACCCGTATGCCCCAAAAGGCTAGCCTTTTGCAAAGTAAGGGTTATTGAAGAAGAGGAAGTCCAAGAGCTCTGAATGCCAGTGTGTTGGGATTAATTGTTCTTATGGGTAAGAAAGAAGCCCCCAGAATAACAGATCCTGTGTGGAGAGAAAGATGGGAGTTGTATGACAAAGTCTCAGTAAATGGAGATGAATGACTCAAAGATCAGTTAGGTGACAACTATAAATGTAGCTATAACATAGTCTTAAAAGTGGATAAAATAGGAAAATAATGATGTATAAGTCAGTCTGGGAAACCAGGATAATAGACTTGTTTTCCTGGCCTGGGATGTGGGTTTAGTGATTTCTTAATAGGAAGAGATGAAAGGATCTTCCTGTGTGAAGGTAGAGGATATAGGGAAGTTTCTTAGCAACAGAACTAGGATTCTTAAAAGTAGGGAGTGAGAAATCCAGGGAGGGAGGGGGGTTCATCTAATTATGCAGGAAAAATCAGAAAGGACTGGTAGAGTGATTATACAATTTACTGACCAAACAGGTGTTATTTTGAAAATGAAAATAATGTTATTAATAGTTACTCTGGGACATTAGTCATAAACCAGGACGGTCCTGGGCAAATTGAGATATTTAGTCATCTCAGTGATAGGTAACCGTAGGAGCTATCACCTTGGAAAGGTGATGTTGAGAATGAATGAATTGAGCCCTAAATTAGAGGGGCATGAATGGAGTTCACCAGCCTCAGATTATTTTCTCTAGTGCCATGTTACTGCCCTGAAATGTCCTGGGTATATCTTGTTCTGTATGGGTCTGGAGATTTGAAGGACATTCTGGGTTAATCTCTGGATGAAGAGCTAGAAGGCATTGACCTATATAGGTGGAACTTGAAACCTTAGAAGTGGATGAGATGTTCAAAGGAAAACACAAAGAAAGGGAAGTGAGGAGAAAGGGAGAATCCAGGGGCTCACCAGTTTGAAAGAGATGGTGAAGAAGAATCCAGCCAAGGAGATTGAGGAGGAATGGCCAGGGTGGAGGGAGGAAAACCAAGAGATTTGGCATCTTCCAAGTCCAGAGTGATTTAATAAATGATTAATACTCTCATATGCTTCATGCTCTTCAGAGAGGTCAAATAAGATAAGGACCAGAACGTGTCCACGTGTCTGTTGGATGGGATTTGGCAGTTAGAAGGTTATTGTTGATCTTGGCGGAGTAGTTTCAGTGGATTAGTGTGGGCAGAAGGCAGACTGCACAGAGCTGTGAGGTGAGAAGACTACTTCCAGTGTAGAGTACCTGAGTCATCTTGAAAGAGGAGGTGTCAACAGGATATACATACACATATATATTATATATTATATATATATAATCTTTTTTTTTTTTTTAATTTAGGCAGTGGAGAAGTCAGTGTTGATGAGGGTTTAAAAAATGAGAGGAGCCCTGGCCGCTTTGGCTCAGTGGTTGGAGCGTTGGCCTGCGGACCAGAGAGTCCCGCTAGGAACATGTACCAAAAACCAAAAAAACAAAATGAGAGGAGCTGGAAGTCCAACCAGTGTGTCCTGGTAATGTCTATTCAGAAAGTGAGAAGAATATGCTTCTTAAATCAAGTAAGATAACTTCATAATTACAATTTGTCAGAAGCTCGAATGGATAGGAAGTGTTTATTGAAGAGATAGAATTCCTAATTTGGGTGAAATACTTGTAAGTGACATCTAGGTTGTGGACTAACTCTAGGTTCTAATTTTTCTCTTTTAAGTCTGTATTGTGGAATGGTTTAACCATGTATGTTCCACCCCCAACATTGTTGTTGGAATGGGCTTGCTCTTTTCTAGGGATTTGTTCTTGTACATCTTTCTTTTTCAAAGTAAATTGTGTCTTTGTACGTTGGAAATATTTTCTGGTTAAGTTTATTTAACTTTCCTGTTGTGGTAGTATTTGACTCTTGGCTGAATTCACTGTTTAATAATTTATATTTATTTATCATAAGTGAAATTAAGTCTATATGCTTATTTTAGTGTTATGAACTTTCAAAGAACAATAATGGTACAGGAATTTGTTCTCTTTCCTTTTTAAAATTGCTCAGATCAAAATGTGATTTGCTACAATGAAATTCTGATTAGTTCTGTAATTCACTTGTCTTAGTTTCTTAGATGGAGAATAATAGTCATAATTGCATACTTATTATTTCACCAGCATAATTATTATACTGAGTTTGGATGAGTGTGAAATTAAACAATGGTAAGAATGTTTTTCTCTTTTATTATAATGTGGCTTATTTGAAAGGACAACAAAACATGTTTATCAGTTCATAAAATGCATTCATTTTTATTGCTTCTGGATATTCATCCATTGAAGTGCACAATTCATTGTAACCTGGCCAATGGTGAAAGGGGATTTTACTGGTGTGACGTGTAGGACAGCTGCTTGTGTCCTTCAGGTCGCTCGTATACTGCTTTTCCATATTTGTTTGTCTAAATTTTATTGGACTTTTAATGTGTTATGACTTGAAGTTTATCAAAGTTAGAAAATCCTTTATCATTTTCTGGATTTCCCCCTAATGATGCTTCCAAAGACAGTAATGCTGATATCTGTTCTTGAAGTTTTTTCTCCATTAACCTTATTTAAATATTTTGGAGAATATAACTAAAGTCACACATTCCACGCTACTAAAATATATTTATTTTCTGTCATTAAACAAATTTTAGTAAGGTAGTTCAATAAAACCTGATTATGCACAATTTAAGAAAATATTTAGAATGTCTCATTTTAATCTGAAGTTAATCTTGACGCTTACTTGTACTATATTACTATTTTCTGGATGTTGTACTATCATGACAGTTCACAGCCTAAAAGATATTGAGAGTTCATCTAGTTTTTTGTTTTTTTTGTTTTTTTATCCTCACTCGAAATTTTTCCATTTTTTGTTCAGATAGAGTGGGAGGGAGAGAGAGAGAAACATCTATGTGAAAGGGACACATGGAGTGGCTGCCTCCCACCTGACCCATCCAGGGCCGGGGACAGACTGCAATTGAGGTACGTGCCCTTAGCGGGAACCGAAACCAGGTCTCTCTGGACCAGAGGCCGACTCTCTAACCATTGAGCCAAACCGGCCAGGCCTTTTTTGTTTTTTTTATATATGTGTAAAAAGAATGGAGATCAGAAAGGTTAAGCAAGCACTTTGCCTAAGATGCTAGAGGTTGAGGCAAAACAGAAAACCAAGTCTCTGACTTTTATTCTTTTTTTTTTATCCTCACCCGAGGATATTTTTGCACTTATCTTTAGATAGAGCCGAAGGGAGAGAGAGAGAGACATCGATATGAGAGAGACACATCGACTGGTTGCCACCCATACAACCCCAACCAGGGCCATGGACAAACCGCAACCGAGGTATGTGCCCTTAGTGGGAATTGAACCCAGGACTCCCCTGTCCGTGAGCTGACGCTCTAACCGCTGAGCCAAACCGGCCAGGGCTAGTATTCTTTCTATTATAACAGCAATCACTTAAACATGTGAATGCATTTTAGAGAGCAATCTCAGCCAAAAGATGCCTTTTACCCAGAGAAAATGATAGTGTTTGGTTTCTATATGCAATTTGTTTATTACTTTAACCTTTTTCTTTACACATGTCTACATTAGGCCATAGTGATAGAAACTAAGTTGTAATGATACCCAATGTGATAGAAAAAATACTAAGTGTAGGTTGAATTTGAAATGCATGTGCTCAGAAAGTGTTTAATAAATATTTCTTTCTTTTTTTTGGTAAGTGCCCTTAGCGGGAACCGAACCCAGGACTCTCTGGTCCGCAGGCCGACGCTCCAACCGCTGAGCCAAACCGGCCAGGGCAAATATTTCTTTCTTATTTCTGTTCCCTGTTACTCCCAGTTCCTATGCCCTTCAGTTCTACTATCTGTCCATTTTCATGGATGTCCAGAGAGCAATAAATTAAGCAGTTGGATCTCAATATGATCTCACTATTATCTTTTTTGATGTGAAATGTTTTATAACAGTAAACACATTTGTCTATAATTGATTGCCTCAACTAAATTTTTTTCTTCAAAAGGGAAGCTAATTTTCATTGTGTCTGTAAGAATTAGAAAGGAATAAGAGGAACCCAGTGCTGTCTATACTTGTAAGGTGTCTTTAATGCTTCTAAAAATGTGTTCAAACCCTTAGGAGGGATGATTGGGCGGTATGGTGGGTTATGAGATGTATTGAGAGATTAGAAAGGTTAGATGGTGCGGGGATTGCATAGCATGATAACAAGGAGTTGGGATCTTATTTCCTAGGAAATGGGGTGTCATTTATGATTTTAAGGAATGTGAGTGACATTTTAGCTGCTGTAGATTTTGAATTGGATGAAAAATAGGCCAAGCAGAGTGACCAAGGAAGAGTTTGTTAGTATTGTGAGTGAAAGAGGAGATAGAGGCCTGGGAGATGCATGCTTAGGCGTGAGGTTAGAGGGGAAGGACCACATTCTAGGTGGTGATCATAATGACTGATAATGATTGTTCTTCTCAGTGTGCTGTGCATTGTATATGAGTTAGCTCATTTAATTTTATTATTTACAACAATTTTAAGTGTTCTTTATAACTTGGTTTTATAGATTTATTGAGGTTTAGAGTAAGAAAGTCAAGTCCCCAAAGTCACAGAGTTAGCGAGTAGCGGATGCAGAGGTGAACCAGCAAGCTGTCAAGAGGAAAAACTGAGTAGGCCCCTGATGAAGTACTATTCTGGTTTCTCTCCTGAGTGATTGGGTAGAAGTCATTAACTGAAATAGGAGTGAGGAAAGAAGAGCTGGTTTGTTGAAGGGAGGAGGCAGTGTTTGCTTTGGAGAATAGAAATTGTATACAGAATACAGAGAGATTGCCTGGGTCTGAATCCTGCCTCTGATGCTTAGTAGCTCTGTGACCCTGAGCAATTAGCTAACCTCACTGTGCTTCATCAGTTTCCAACATGTGACGAATAGGGATATAGTTGTTCTTTCAAGATTGTTATGACGATTAAACCAACTACTATAGTAGAGTGCTTACAGGAGTGCCTGATGTGTAGTACTCAGTCATTGTCGGTGTTAGCTGTATCATCATCATCATCATCTGTATTCTATAAAAATCCAGAGATCCATTTTGATAATGGATGAGCTACTCAGTATAAAATTTATAAGCACATTTCTTTTAGGAGGGATGTAAAGCAAGGGGAAATGATTCAACTGAATGGGCCTTAATAATTCCTTTTAGTGCAGGCTCGCTTTTAACCACAGAGTCTCATAATTTTCATTCTTTTAAGGTGCTCAGAATCAAACACAGGTTCTTCTGGGATATCTGGTTGCCAAGTTTGTTTTAGGAAAAATTAACTGCTTATTGAAGGACTTTAAGTCTGATACATTTTGGTGTGACTTCCTCTGAATTTCCTTTCTAATTCTGCCTTGCTACACTCTGCCTGTGTTTCCTTTATTTCCTGGCCAGCTTTGTCACACAAGGAGCTGGGATGTCCTTGCCTCTCTGGGCCAACCACAGGTTTCAAGGCAGCTGCAATCAGTGTTAACCAAGACTTCATGGGCTTGGGAAAGGGGGAGGGGAATAGGCAGTGTTGTATGTCATCTCCCTGAAATATGAAAAAAGAAGTATGTATACTTTTCTGGGGCCATTGCTTTCTTAGATTTCTACACCCCCCCCAACCCAAACCAAACCACTGCCTCTTTTCATTTTATTGCATTTTCTTTATTTGAACAGACTTACACAATTCTACATAAATTGAAAATATTTCATTCAACACATTTTTGTACTTTGACTTAGCCTAAATACATAATACAGAATAAGTATACAAGTGTTTCCTCCCACATTTACTGGTTAAGGATTATTATAGTCCTACATTTTTAATATGGACCATCGAGGTCCAACCCAACCTTTATCCCTTCTGTGTTGCAATTTCAGTTGAAACTTAAAAGTGTTTTAGTGTTACTGCTTGTTAAAATGTAAATAGTTCTTTCTAGGAGGAGCAGATTTTTGTTGTTGTTGTTCAGATAGAGTGGGAGGGAGACAGAGGAAGAGAGAGAGAGAGAGAGAAACATTGATGTGAAAAGGACACATCAAATGGTTGCCTCCCGCACGACCCAACCAGAGCTGGGGACAAACCACAACTGGGGTATATGCCCTTAGCGGGAACCGAACCCAGGTCTCTCTGGACCACAGGTCGACACTCTGACCGCTGAGCCAAACCGGCCAGGGCGAGGAGCAGAACATTTTTTCAGGTTATTTACTTCTTGATGTAAATGAGAAATGTGGAAACATATGAAGCTATAGAACACCTTGAAAAGTTTGGGGTGGCAGAATATATTGCCTGGAGGGGTGAAACAGCATGGGACAATGAGACAGGATCACTGCCTAATAAACGGCACTTAGTGCCAGACCTAGTCACTAAAGTGCTCTGACAAGTGCCTTTCTGAAGGACATGGTTTGGCTGTGAGGAGTCTCTCAAAAATGTCATGCAGTATTAGGAAGAAACATCAGGTAGAAATCTGAAGACCTAGCTGTGAAGTCTTATGACTTTTGGGAAATCTCTGAATCTCCATCTACCTTAGGCTTCTTATCTATAAAATTTTGAGAAAGGTACTAAGGTCATTTTGCTCTCTGAGTTTGATTCTAGAGTAGATTCTTATTCTCAAATAATTCATAAAATGCAAACTCCCTGGAAGTCTTCCTTTACTGGCAGTCAGCGTGTTACTCCACGTTAGTTGAAAAAAACTTTATTTTGAGTATGTCAGTTACTTCTTATAAATAAATGTTGTGTTCCAAAGGTTCACTTCTGAGAACGTTATTTAGCATGTCATTGATTTGCCCTACTGACAACGTTCTATGAGGTGTGTATATCCACAGCGCTCTTCTTCTCCACGCTGTTTAAACTATAATGTACCTGACTGTGACATTGTGAGAGAACCCGGGAAGAAGGTCTGGGGAAGTGCTGAGGCTGCCTCATGAGGCTTAACTGGTCTACTTGTTGCCTCGTGTGCTACTACCCACTAATGGCTTGGAGGTGTGGGAATCCCTTCTTCCCTCACCAGGAAGCACGGTACTGGAGGAGAGTGAGGCAAAATGTGTTGCTAGCAGTTCTGGTTGGAACTCTGAATTCATTTTCCCATGGGGCCCCCATGGGTTGTTACTCAGGCTTCTGACTTTTCCTTCATGATACCACATCA